ATTCACGCATTAAATTCTTTTTTTCTTTTTAAACCATCAATGTAAGAAATTCTTAATTAATATATCAAGATATTAGTGTTTATCATTAGAGTTTCTAAAAAATTAAGAGAAAAAATGCCTCAAAAATATTTTGTTTTATTAAAACACACATGAAAAATATTAAAATAGTCTTATTCATACTTTAAAAGTAAATTATTTTAGTCATTTTTAATAGAAATTTATTAAAATGATATTATTTTGAAATAATTTTTTTTTTTTGAAGTATATAATTAGGAAATATTGCGCAGAATCGGATCCAGGTATTTTTTTTGAGGTCTTGGAGGTGCATGACGAGCGCTTCGGAGCTGTTTTCCACTCGGAGGTCGAGATTTGGCCGGCCGGATCCGGATCCGGCGTTTGCCTATTCTGCAAATCGGAACTTTCACCAGAATAACAATCGTCGCCACCATAATCATCACATTAACCACCATAACGGCCATGATTTGGATGGCTGCGATCCTCTTCGACGGTCACCGCGTGTCCGTCTCATCAGTCCCCGTGCCTCCTCCCACTCTGTATGCTCCTCAATTTATCTCTTTATTTATTTAAATAGTTAAATACACGTGTGCTTATCTTGTTTGTTTTTAGTTTTAGTTTTTTTTCTTTGACCACAATTTTTTTTTTTTAGTTTTTGAATATCTATTTATTTCATGTAAAATTATAGTTTTTGATTTTAGAAGAATCAAGGATAATTTTATGTTAAATAACTTAAATTCATACCAAATGAGTTATTTAGGATAAATATAGTTTGGTAATCTATCCTAAGAAATACAATTCTTCTTACCATTTTTTTTTTAGTACATCATATGATAGCTTATACAACAAAAGTGATAGTCCTTCCTATTATTCTTACAATTATTATTATTATTATTTAGCCACATATTGTTCTTACAATTATGATTGAACATTGTAATAGCATATATGGAAAAATGTTGTTTTTTGGGTGAATGCAGCTGATTTTGTTATTTTTTTTCTATATTGGCACTTGATTAGGAGTGGGTTTTAGGGAGACTTGAACAGGGAGGCAACCAGTTTGTGCCGAGCAGCAGCAGGGAAAATGGAGATGCTGTGAGCAGTACTACAAGTAGGCCTGCAAATGAGAGGCTTCCGGGTGCTGTACTCCTTGCCAGGGCAAGGCTTCTTGAGAGATTGAGAGGGGTCTCAGTGAACAGGTTGGTGTTTAGAGGTGCATGCAACATTCAGTTTTGTAGTTGGTGTGTTCTTGGATGTTTAGTGGATTTAGTCTCATTTTTATCTTACATATTTATTTTACATTTCAGAGTAAAAGGAATGAAGAAAATGGACAAGTGATCAAGTTCATTTACTTGTTGAAGATAAAAATAAATAGATTAATTGAATAAATTAAATTAAATTAAAAGGAAAGTAGCTCATTTACTTCTTGAATTTTACTATTGTATACAACCTACAAATAATGGTAATTGGCAGGAACAAGCTACATTGATGATGGAGAAATTTGGTATCTGTTCTCATAATTCTGGCTGTTGACCCAAATGACCCAATTTTGTTAACAACCTTAGCTCTTGTAGGGTTAAGTTTACTGGTTCTGTCCTGCATAGGTGCAATTGAGGATCAAGTTGTTGGAGTAGTTGCTTAATTAGCAGATCTTGTACATTGTTGAATATCATGCAGTTATTTTCATGCATTTTTATGAGTATATTTATGTTAAGAGTTTTGATGTAATAATATCTAAAGACATGGATTTTTGGTTTGCAATCACAATGACAAAGATTGGTTACCTTATCACCATGAGAGACCTTAGAAAGCTCATTGAGTGATTCATACTCCTTGATCTGACTAGTGTTCTTTTAGGCATGTTCATGCACTCATTGCTTGAATCTGACTCATGTTCTTTTAGGCATGGTGGCAGAGCATCGGGCAATTCCCAGAGGCACTACATCTTTGGTGATGATTTCAGGCTTGTTGATGCAGGGGACTGGGGAACTGAGATATCTACAGGTTCATCGGCCAGAGGCTCTCCTTCTGCTGAGTCAACATATCAAACTGAAAGGCTTCAGTTCTTGCAAGAAAAAAATCAGAAGCCACCAGGTCTGAGTCAGGAGGCCCTGGATAGTTTACAGCTTGAGATCTTCAGCAGCAGGGAAAGAATGATGTCAAGGGAATCAAGCGTTTTTGTTTCCTGTAATGATTCCTGGGACTGTAGTATATGTTTGGAGAGCTTCATAGAGGGAGACAAGCTTACCAGGCTACCGTGCAGGCATAGGTTTCACTCTGCTTGCTTGGACCCTTGGGTTAGAACATGTGGGGACTGCCCATATTGTCGAAGACGCATACTTTAAGTAAATATACTTACAAGCAAGAGCAAATTCCTATAGAAGACTATTGTTTTTCCCTTTCTCCACCTGCCTTGTGCCGTGACCAAAATTTTGAGACGTGCACCATACGTGTTGGTTTTCTGTAACTTGAACTTATTTGTGGTCCTCTCTGTCTGTTGTAAAACTTGAAGATCTGCCTGAACTTTGATACAGCAGAACTGAAGGATAACTGTAAAGTATCTACTCCTATTCATATTTATCTGTTCCTATTCTTCTGTTCATATATATAACTAAATTCTCAACTAACATTGCAACGTTAGTACCATATACAGAAACAAAGGATAAATATAATTTTATGCTCCAAACTTTTAGGGTGATGTAAACAATACCCGAACCTTTATTTACTTTCAATTGCGTGCTAAACCTCTAGATTTCATCCAATAATATTCACTACATACATATCAACAAAAGCCGTTAGGATTCAATCAAAATTTTATTTGAAAAAGTGAAAATTATGACTTCCTGCAAAATGTTAGAAACTTAGAATTGTCACTAAGATCCCGTTTGGTATAACGGTTTTAGGGTAGTTGTTAACGGTTTTACTTAAACCATTAAATATAAGTGTTTGGTAAATTTATATATTTCGAAACCGTTACAACTAAAGTATTTGTTAAAATTTTTATTTAGCGGTTTAAAACTAGTGGATAACGATTATGGTCCAAATCGTTAGCGGATTGAAAAAGTTAATTTATGTAACTTTTTATACCAAACCGCTAGCGGATTAGAATTTTTTAATTTTATTGATAAATTTATCCATTTTAATTTTTTAATTTGTGGTCACATTTTTTAATTAATAAT